CGGGGTTCAGGTACTTGATTAAGGTTATAAGTCGGTATAGCCCTACTTTCCGAATCCAACGAACCTCCAAGTGGGCCCTAAACCTTAAACCCTAATCCCTACCTGTAGCCGGAAAGACCTACCTTTTAAAGAACTATGTAAAGAAACCATAGTAAGGAACCCTAAAAAGGTGGGTCTTTTCGGCTGCAGGTAAACCGTAAACCTTCAAGGCTCTGCAGCCACTCCTACCGTGCCTTATCTGGGCTCTGAGTCTCCCGAAGGACCAAAGAACCGACAAGAGTGCTTTGCAAGACTCCCAAAACCTACCGGTTTAGGGTTTAGGGTTTAGTTTAGGGTTTAACGTTTAGGGGTTTGGGGTTTAGGGCTACACCCCAAACCCTGAAGACAAACAACAGCAAACACAACAAGGAGGAATGCCAAGTAGGTGTTGCTCTTGCAGACTTGCAGGTGGACCCTTCGTTAGAGCCTGGCTTCCGAAAGTCACCGAAACCTAATCGAGCTGGTGTGCCGAAGAAGACGAATGCAAGCAACGTGATGCTCACCTTTTCGACCTGCTTTCTACCATGACGTCAGCTTCCGCAGGGGGTGGCCCTGGCAAAAGGCAAGAGCTTCAATGATGTTCGCTTTCGGACTCAAAGCTTCGAAGCCCTCGGCAGTTTTCATAGAGTCATAGAACGATGGGTCAAGTTTTGGAAGGATGTGCCTAGAAACCTTCAAGAAGCAGGCACCAAAGAAGTCAATGGGGAATGACGGGTTACTGTAGGGTCCTCCTGAAACGCAATCCTGCATCCACCCTTGGATCCTACGCCTGTCTTCATGGAGTTAAATGGCCGTAGCATGGTCGAAAAACACACATTCAATTCTGAGCTGCGGAAAGGCAAGTCTGCTGTGGCTTCCAGAAGGAACCTAATGCTCATCGTGTTCTTGTGATGCCAAAGATTTTGAACTCTCCTGCTGCACAAAATCAGAGGCTCCTCACCAGCAGACCATTTCTTTCGTGGGACGAAAGGGATTCCCTAAATCGCAAACTTCGGCTGCTTATTCGCAACCCCGATGCTGGGGCAATGAACTACTGCAGCCCTGTTGGCGCTCTTTTCTCAAAGCTGTGGCACACTTCGACCGCTGGATAACAACCGTACCGAATGCATCTACAGCTGAACTGCGTCCCTGCGCCTGGGATCCTTGCTGTAGATATGCTGCAGAAGTTGAGAGACAAGGCCGCTGTAGGTCGTGATTCTTGGAAAACCTTTCTTCTTCGAGTATTCCTGCATTGCGGCGAAGACTTCTTCCCTCGATGCAGACTCATCGGGAATACGACCTGTGCACGCAAACTTTTGGCGAATCTGCGCATCCGATGGGGGCACCTGCCACTGTCCAGTACCGCAACTGGAGAGGAAGGCTTCCTTGAACTTGTTTTCCAGCTGTCTGAGGGGCTCGCCTTTTTCAGGGAGCAGTCCCATCTTTCGAAGGATCTTCTTATTCATTGCCACGTTCGCAAACACCAGCATTGCTTCAGACAGATCTGAATCTAGTTGGCTGTCGAGGAAGCCCAGCCGTCTGAAAGCCTCACTGACCAGATCCGAGGAACTAGTTAAAACGAAGGGGCCTCCAGCACGAGACATGCTCCAGCCACGCCAAGACCCGTACTGGTCGATGATTTTCCTTTTCCGGCGCCCACTCGGTGCACCGCACCCTAGAGGAAGAAAGAATGCAACGTCCTTTCGTGCCTCTCTTGCCAAGCCTGCGGTGACGAACTGGTACGACTCCAAATAGCAGGAAGTTGCTGGATACACTGTAATTGGGCCTACTGAGTTCGTGAAACACCACTTGGCGATGCATGACTGCAAGAACTCATAGCCAGTAGGCATATATCCCGAGCTTGACATGGATTCTTTGAGAACCGCAACTTCTTTGTCCAATGCTCTGTGAGGGATAGGGCTGCAGCGTTGCACAAATCCTGTGCCGTCAGGCTCGAGGACGGCTCTTACCTTGTATTTGATCTTTTCGTCAGAGTCCAGTGGCACAACCAAAACGCCAGCCTCCTTGTATCTTTGTGCTACCCCATTATATGCCGTCAGTGTGAAAATCATCGCCTGTTTCCCTGCCAGGACTATCTTCCGCATGTCCTGGACAAAGCCAGCATCTGCCGCGAGCAGCGCAACGCGAACTGTACCAGCAGTGGTGGCTACGGTGCCCAAATGCTCTTTCACCGCTCGATCAACATGTTCCTCGTACATGCCATGGCGGCGTACCACCGGCTTGAACTCGAATCCAGACCGTCGTACCAGATCTCTCCACGCTTTGTTGTTGATCTTTCCAGGCTCGGCGAAAATTGTAGTCTGCACCTGCGTAGACTGAGACTTCAAGTGGTCAACAGCTGCAAGCAGTAGGTCTACTGACGGCATATCTCCATCCACAACCAGTTCAGTCACTCCTTTGCAGCGCGACGTGTCGGCTTTGGGCGAGGCTTTGGCACAAGCCGTTGTCCGTAGCTGCTTTAATCGATGTCTGCCCTGACAGCGAAATGCAATGTACCCTGCGGCACTTAGTCCCGTCAGATTGCAAGCCGGGTGGAGTTTCCGGCTTCCAATCTTGGCACAATGTGACTCAAAGGGCGCATGCCTCTGCGGGAGCTCACCAACGGGCAGCTTGCGGCCTGCAGTGATCATTGCGGCCCGCACCTATCCTGTTCAAGGTAACGAACCCTATGCCCCAAGACTTGAAGCCTCTACTCTGTCTGAAAGCCCAAAAACCGCATGCCTGCAGTCCAAGCTTGTGAACTAGCCGTCAGACAAAACCCTAAACCCTAAACCCCAAAGCCCTAAACCCTGCTACGAGCTCGGAAGCCAATCCATCCGTGCGCCAAGCATTAGGCCGACAAGTCCCTTCCCATTGTCTGCCCTAAACCCTAAACCCTAAACCCTACAACCTAAACCCTAAACCCTAAACCGTCCCCAAATCCTGGACCCTTCAAAACCCGGACAGGGCCGCCATCCTAAAACTGCAGCGGTCACGAGATGGGACCTGCACGACGTCGTCAGATTTCCCGACCAAAGGACCCGAAATCACCACATCCTGAGATGAGGTTTAAACTCAAAAGTAACACACTTTCAACACGAAAGCCCCTGAAGTACAGTCCCTACGCCTTCAACACCAAAGTCCCGCCCCTATCACTGAGATTTCTAAACCCTAACTTTTACTGCTGTCTGCGGAGCTCGGGGAAGTAAGTTAAACCCTAAACTCTAAGCCCTAAACCCTAAACCTCAAAGCCGAGCATAGAGCCGAGAAGCTTCTGGCTGAACATGCAATCTTATTGCGCAGCACTTCGGGATAAACCGATGAAGGGTATGAGTTAGGGAATTCAGGGTGACTTGGGCTAGTTCGCGCTTGACTTGGGCATTGCGGGCCGTTAAACCAAGTTTCGTCTTTCTGCACCTGTGTTATGCTAGGCCTGCTTAGACTATTAGAGGATCAGGGGACTTAGCAAGCGGGGTTCAGGTACTTGATTAAGGTTATAAGTCGATATAGCCCTACTTTCCGAATCCAACGAACCTCCAAGTGGGCCCTAAACCTTAAACCCTAATCCCTACCTGGAGCCGGAAAGACCTACCTTTTAAAGAACTATGTAAAGAAACCATAGTAAGGAACCCTAAAAAGGTGGGTCTTTTCGGCTGCAGGTAAACCGTAAACCTTCAAGGCTCTGCAGCCACTCCTACCGCGCCTTATCTGGGCTCTGAGTCTCCCGAAGGACCAAAGAACCGACAAGAGTGCTTGCAAGACTCCCAAAACCTACCGGTTTAGGGTTTAGGGCTCAGTTTAGGGTTTAACGTTTAGGGGTTTGGGGTTTAGGGCTACACCCCAAACCCTGAAGACAAACATCAGCAAGCACAGCAAGGAGGAATGCCAAGGAGGTGTTGCTCTCGCAGGTGGACCCTTCGTTAAACCCTGGCTTCCGAAGGTGACCGAATCGTGAGTGAGCTGGTGTGCCGAAGAAGGCGAATGCAAGCAATTAGGAGTTAGGATTAGGGGGACCCTTGGGGATATAGACCCTCTCAATAAGGTCCCCCGTAAGAGAGCCATAAGTAGGGTTAAGAAGGGTCCCCTTTTAGGGGCCTCCCTACTGCTACCTAAGAGCAACGTGATGCTCACCTTTTCGACCTGCTTTCTACCAGGGCGTCAGCTTCCGCAACGGGTGGCCCTGGCAAAGGCAGGAACTTCAAGCTATTTGATTGGGGGATCACTGCGTTGAAGCCCACAGCTATTTTAGGGTTTAGGGTCTAGGGTATGTTCATAGAGCCTGTCGAACGGGTCCGAGGTAATTACGACCGGCGCAGATGGGTCAAGTTCTGGACGGATGCGGTGAGGAACCTTCGGAAGGCACTCATGCCCAATAACAGGGTCCGAATAGATACACCAGAGGGCCATGACCCTTGGGGATATAGACCCTCCCAATACGGTCCCATTTAAGAGAGCCAGAAGTAGGGTTCAGAAGGGTCCCCCTTGAGGAGTCTCCCTAGTACTACCTAGGACGATTCCGCTAACCCCAGGCTTGCTGCTTTTGCAGGGACGTAAAGCAGCCGTTCAGAGTCTCGCGTTTCTAAACGTGGGAAGGAAGGCGACAGGAGGACCTCAAAGAGATGTTACAAAACCCAGTCAGAAGCTTATCGAAACTAACCATATCGTCACAAAACAACGCCTTTCTTGGGATGCAATTCTCATTCCTATACTATCTTCCAGATCTTAAACCTGTTGTAAGCCAAAATGGGAGCCAGGAGTTTACACCAGGACGACCTATTCAACATTTGCATAAATGAGGGGGGGGGCTGCTGGATTGTAATAGGGTGTTGGGGTAACTTGTGGTGGAATGCTATGGGGACTATATGGCATACTATTGCTAATTTACTAACTGATCATTCCGACTGCAATGTTGGCTCTGTGAGTGTTTTGTTGTTCCAAGCTTTGGCAGACTTCGACCGCTGACATGTCTAAAGCTGAACCGCATCCCTGCGCGAAGGATCCTTGCGGTTCATATGCCGCAGAATTTGCCAGGCAAGGCCATTGTAAGTCTTCAGTCTTGGCAGCCCTTTCTTCTTCGAATACTCCTGCATCACGGCGAAGACTTCCTCCCGCGATGCAGACGCGTCGGTAATACGATTTGCACGTGCAAAAGTTGCGCGAAGCCGTGAATCCGATGGTGCCACTTGCCACTGTCCGCTACCGCGGCTGGAAAGGAAAGCTTGCTCGAACTTGTGTTGCAACTGTTCCGCACGCTCGCCATCTTCCGGGAGTGCTTCCAGCTTTCTCAGGAGCATTTTGTTCGTTGATATGTTCGCAAACACCAACATCGCCTCGGAAACATCTGAATTTAGGTGGCTGTCTAGGAAGCCCAGTCGTTCCAAAGCCTCGCTGACCAGATCCGAGGAAGGAGTCAAGATAAAGGGACCTCCTGCATGAGATACGCTCCAGCCACGCCCGGAGCCATACTTGTCGATGATGCTCTTCCGTCGTCCTAGGCTTCCCGATATTGCATACCCCAGCGGAAGAAAGAATGCAACGTCCTCCCTTGCATCTCGTGCCAAGCCCCCAGTGACGAACTGATACGACTCCAAAAAGCAAGAAGTGGCTGGATACACAGTGATTGGGCCTAAAGAGTTCGTGAAACACCACTTGGCGATGCATGACTGCAAGTACTCACGGCCAGTGGGCATATATCCCGAGCTGGACATGAATTCTCTGAGGATGCCAACTTCTTTGGGCAATGATCTGTGAGGGATAGGGCAGCAACGTTGCACAAAACCAGTGCCATCAGACTCGAGGACCGCCCTTACCTTGTACGTGATCGTTTTTTCAGAGTCTAGTGACACAACCAATACTCCAGCCTGTTTGTACTTCTGTGCTAACCCATAATACTTCGATGATGTGCAAATCAAGGCCTCTTTCCCTGCCAGGACTATGTTCCGCATGTCCGGGACAAAGTCATCATCTGACGTGATGAGGGCAACGCGAGCTGTCGCAGCATTGGTGGCTAGAGTGCCCAAGTGCTTTTTGACAGCTCGATCGTTGGGTTCCTCGTACATGCCATGACGGTGCACAGGCTTGAACTCGAATCCATGCCGGCCTACCAGACCTTTCCACGCTTTGTTTTTCATCCTTCCAGGCTCGGCGAATATGGTAGTTTGTACCTGCCCAGACTCAGAACGCAAGCGGTCAACAGCTGCAAGTACAAAGTCTTTTGAGGAACTATCTCCGTCCACGACCACTTCAGTCACCCCTTCACGCCGTGATGTGTCGGCTTTGGAACAAGCCGTTGTTCGTCGTTGCTTCGAGCGAAACCTTCCCTGACAGCAAAGTGCTGCGCACGCTGCGGCACCTACTCCTGTGAGATTGCAAGCTGGGTGGAGCTCCCTGCTTCCAATCTCGGCAAGACGCGACCCAAGGAGCGACTTGCTCTGGGGGATACGAGTACCACCAACCGGCAGCAGTGCCGTGGAGAATGCAGCAGTCATTAAGGCCCCCCCGCGATTATCCTAGTCAGGGATGCTGATGCTGAGCCTACGCCCTAAGACTGCAACATCTAATTACCCTACATGAAAACGGTTTAGGGTTTAGGGTTTAGGGTCTAGCGGAAAGCCCAAGCTGCGGGGACCATGGCCTGTGGCTTGAGCTTTTGAACTTGTTGTCGTGGGACAGCTGGACTCCATGCTCCGAGCTCTGAAACAAATCGACCCGTGCACAATCCCCCCTGCCAAACGCAAGGCCGACAAGTCCTTCCCATCATGTCTTCCAACTTCAAGTCTGGCCCTGAACCCTAAACCGTAAACCCTAAACCGTCCTCAAGTCCGAACTATGCTCCCGAGCTCCGACCTCGGTATTCAGAACGTAGCGGTCCAAATCGAATGCCTGGCGCAGCATTGCGGTTTGCATAGCGCTCGCCACTTCCGCAAACCTACATTGCGCTTGAAGCCTGAGAGACGTTTGAAACGACAAGCCCAAAGCCCTCCAGCCTAAACTCCGAAACCCCAAACCCTGAAACGACAAGGTTTCAGACTACATTGCGTTTGAAGCCTGAGAGACGTTTGAAACGACAAGCCTAAAGCCCTCCACCGTAAACTCCGAAACCCTAAACCCTGAAACGACAAGGTTTCGAGTGAAAGGCCCTTGGGAGATGAGAGTGAAGCTCCGGGGAGGGTGTCAGAAAAACAGGCTCTCAATACTCAGAACAGGGTGTTGCAGCTCGATCTGCCATTTCAGTAAGGAATCCAAAGGAGTACTATTGGTAACTTTTTTGGCCTCTATGCTCTAGGCTTTTTCTGTCATGTAAAGGGTGGATCTTCTGATGTTTGAGGCATTTTTAGTGCTCATGTCGGCATGGTTTCCCAGCAAGGTCCTCGATAAAAAAAGTTTGATAGAGAGATCCCTCCCAGGTCCCTCAGGTGGTACCAGTATCCCTTCTGGTTTAGGGTTTAGGGTTTAGGGTTTAGGGTTGTAGGGTTTTGGGTTTTGGGTTTTAAGAGTTTCAGGGTGTAGGGCTTTACGGCTTTGGGGCTTAGCGGCTTAGTGCGCAGGCGGGCCATCCGGGTTTCGGCTATGGCTTCAGGCTTCAAGACGAAGTTCCCAAACATCCCCTTTAAACACTAAACGGGGTTGAAATGGTCTTACAAGTAAGGCGTTTAAATACATATATATATATGTGTATATATATATATATAGATAGATATAGTGACTTAGTGTGATTGTGTCTTTAGGGGGAATAGATTTCGCATTAACCCCTCAAGAATGAGAGTACCTTTTTCCTGTTACTATGGCTGCAGGTATAGCCTAACCATCCGGGCAAGTATAGCGGCCAGGATTTAACTGGGCACAAATACCGACCTAGAACCCGCTTCCACGTCGCGGCAGGAGCGCGTGGGTTTCTTGGCAGCACAATCACTCTGAGCTGCAAGCCTGTGCAATTCCGTGGGTTGAGCAGTAGGATTTCATCGGATAAAAGTTTGACCCGAAACCGTAAACCAGCAAGAAGGAGGCTACGGATTCGGATTTGCCTCTGGTGTTTAAGGGAGAGTGGAGGAGGGAACATAGGGACTACTAACACGGATCCTATAGGTACTATGAAAGGGATGCACTCTCCCACTCCCCCTTAAGCATCCCTGCCTCATTGGGCGAGAACAGCAGATACAGATACTTGAAGGTCTCAGCCATCACGAAGGACTGCATCTCATCCATCTTCTTCGTGGGCACCACGGTGACGTCCTGGCGGGGGACAAGCCCCAACGCAAGCACTGACAAAACAAGCCCCACCCACCCACACACTCCGCCGCCGTCCAAGAATGCCCCAGATCATGTGATTCGAAGGGTTGAACCATGGTGCTTGAGCAACGCGAAACTCCAAACTCTACGCCCGAAGCCAAAATACCTTCCTGAGGGCGGGATCTGCATGTGACGTGCCGCTACACTGAACCCTACCCCCAGACCCCGAACTCAACACACTTCGGGCAAGGAGGGCAGGCCCATGTCTTCTGCTGGAAGAGCAAGGCCACGCAAGACACAAACAAGAGCCCCAAGGTTCTACATCTGAACACCAAATCCTGAGCACTAACACCGACCCCCTGAACCTACCGGGGACAACCAAGCGGCCCGGCTGAGGATCCAGCAACTACCCTGAACCCTAAACCCTAAATAGCCCCAAACCCTAAACCGCAATTTTGACTTGGTGCTCCCTTCAAGAAGAGGACGGACCTCGACCGAGCCGTAGCCGCCGGCGACTTTGCTGTGCTCCACAATGGATCGGAAGAGCTTCTTGCCCCACTTGCGGTATCTCCTTGTCTTGCTGCGTGGTTTGGGTTTTGGTGCATCGGAGGGACTTTGTAAGTAGCTGGTGAGCCGATGTAAGCCGGGATATAAATGGGATGATCTTATCTAGGGTACTCAAAAACCTACTTATGACCTGATTACTAAGTCGCCTATGCCTGTAAGGTTGGATATATATCTTACACTGAAACCAAGGCCCTGCATGCATTATGAATCATGAGCCCTTTCAGGGCAGTAAGCCCAACCCCAATCCCTCCACTTAGACGGCAACGAACGCCAAGCCACGTCTGCCCCGTCATCCGGTACAGGTAGAAGAGGGACTCTGCTGTCTCCGGCCGAAGGTACCTGTGAGTTTTAGGGCTTAGGGTTTTGGCTTTGTGGTTTAGGGCTTTAGAATATTAGGGTGTAGGATGGTTTTGGGGTTTGGGATGGTTTAGGGCTTTAGGGGTTCATGGCTTGGGGTTAGTTCGGGGCTATACGGCTTAGGGCGCTATAAGTCCTGAACCTAGGGTGCTCACGACGGCCTCATGCGGATCGGCGAGCTGAGGTTGACAGAGCTTCGGGGTCCCGGGAATCCCCAATCTTTAGGGTATGGGTTTAGGGTTTAGGGTTTAGGGTTTAGGGCTTAGGGTTTAGGGTTTAGGGTGGGTTCGCGGTGCATTCAGACTCTCGGATCGATTCCGTGTTAAGTGCCCCCAGGTGACAGCCATGAAACTGGTCGAGGCATCCGGGTTGAGGCTTTCAGTACCCCATAAACAAGTTTAGGATTTGGGGGTTTAGGGTTTAGGGTTTAGGCTTTTGGCATCCTCCCTTCCGACGCTAGGATTGCGCAGCTTTCAGACACAAACATTGCTAAAATCTTTAACGTCAGGAATTAAGGCCTACACCCCCCAAGCCCCAAAAGCCCTAAACCCTCAAAAGTCCCAAACCTTTAAACCGCTCCACTAAAGCCCTAAACAAACATCCCTTCGGAGTCCTTCAAAAAGAGGTATCGGTTCAGGGTTTAGGGTTTAGAGTTTTAGGGTTTAGGGTTCCCTTGGCGAGACCTCGGAAATTAGAGAGGACAGCCCTGACCCCTAAACCGCTAAAACCTTCTCAAGAACTTAGTGGAACCCTAAACCCTCACAGAGCCCTTGCAGAAATCCTGAACCCTTGACGGAACCCTAAAACCATTACTGAAACCCTAGCGAAACCTGAAAGGAACCCCCAAGCCATACCTCAAATGCCCAGGTGCGAATGCTGCGCCCCGCGGGGAATCGTCTTCTCGCCACTTTTCATCCTGTCGAAAAAGACCTGAGCTCACCAGTTCTCAGGTTTAAGGTTTAGGGTTTAGGGGTGAATTTTTAAAATGCCCATTGGAACGGGATAAGGCTTAGGCTTGAGGTTTAAGGACTTTAGTTTGAGGGCTTTGGGCTTGCATAGGTCTCTTATTTTTATAGAGGATTTGAATGGGGCTTTCAGAATATCATAGGCTTTTCGGCTTTTCGACTACGCCCTAAAAATATAAACCCCCAAACCTGAAAAAAAAAACAAAAACATCGGCACAACTCCTTCTTTGAAGGCTTGAAGGCTGTAGGGCCTGAAGCCTCCAGGCTCGGCGTCGGTGTTCACGGTTTGGAATTTAGGGCTTTAGGGCTTTCCTGGAAAGCCAGTAGTCTGTA